GCCTGTAGTTGCCCGGGTCCTCCGTCCTCCCTTTTTTAAAGATGGGGACCACGTTGGCTATCTTCCAATCATCTGGCACCTGGCCCAAGCACCACGAGCGCTCGTAAAGCTGTTCCAAGGGCCCTGCAATAACCCCTGCTAGCTCCCTCAACACCCTGGGGTGGAGAGCATCTGGACCCGCTGATTTGAACATGTCCAGCCCCTCCAGAAGCTCTCTAACCCGGTCCTCCCCAACCTGAGGTCTGGAGGCATTCCCCTCGAGTCTGTCTTGCATCACAGTGGGGAAGTCCCAGTCCCTGCACAAGAAAATGGAGGTGAAGAATTGGTTAAAGAGGTCTGCTTTCTCCTCTGGTGCAACCACCAGATTGCCCAGAGAATCTTGCAGGGGCCCCACATTTCCCGGTGCCTTCTTCATCATAAAAATGATAAAATTCTTCAACTCATGTATTTGAACACAGGATATGAAATCAGAACATACATGAAAAAGGAAAAAGAAGCTTTATTCTGACTCCTGATGAGGAAGTATCAAGAGCTCCAGAGTCTGGGGAGGGCTTGCAGCCCCTCCAAAAATGGGTGCTTATTGGAACTGTTCATCTGTTTTGCAGTATAAAGAATGGGGCTGTGTATCACGTGAGAGCAGGCTGTTCTGAGGGATTTCTAATGCTTCCATTCATGATAAACACAAGGGAGAAATGTACCCAAATGGCTCATAACATCCAAAAGATTAATTTTGCATCTGAAAGAAAAAAGGCCAAAACTTTGAGGCAGGGAGGGTGCAGGAAGGGAAGGGGAACAGGTTTTCTATTTTAACACTACTAAAGCATTGTGGAGAAGGGCAGTACATAACACAGTATTAGGAAGAGGAAGTTTTGAGTGAGGACAAACCCTTCTTTTCATAAATGCCTTGAAAGTGTTAGCATCTACTTGCAGTCAAAGGAACCTGTTGTTTTTAAGATCTCCTCTAATACTTGGCTAGCCTACCTAGTAAACTGCATGAAACGTCTTGCACCTTTCTGAGAAAGATGAAGAGTTTAGCTGACAAAGCTCAGAAATTCAGCCTGTGGTTCTAGGTAGCCAGTGTTTCAAACCCATGGTTTAGACCAGCCATTCGTGTCTAATTTTGACTCATGTATAGTACAAACGGTTAGTTTAGTATCATTGAAATGATGCCCTGAAGATACCTGTTACAGCATGTTGCAAGCAGTTCTGGCATGGCCTATCAGTCTGAAACAGTGTGGTTTTCCTGAGGAAAATGTCACTGAAACTCCCTTTAATTCAGATTGGACTGAGATACCCAGGAGGCATCAGGAGCAGTTATTGCAACTTAAAATAACACAAGCAAGTAATGAAACACAAAAAGTCTTAGATACTTGTCAGCCCAAGGGAGAGATAGTTAAAGTGGAACAAATTCATAATATTGGCTTCACCTTCTGAGCATCCGCAGATCCCATAATATTTTTGAGACTTCCCAAAATAGAAGAGAATTTATTTTAAATCTGCTCACAGCTGACTTACCTGCTCCTGCTGTTTGGTGACTATGTCTTTCTCTGCAGTATGACATGAAGAATCATCGCACCTTTCTGAAGCGCACTAAATACGATGGCTTACACCTTGAGGATTTGTTCATAGGCAACAAAGTTACTGTGTTTTCCCGACACCTTTCCTTAGTTGACTATGGGGACCAGTATACAGCCCGCAAGCTGGGCAGCCGCAAAGAAAGGTAGGAAGATGCAGTTTTTGAAATTTTGATTTATTTGCTACCTGAGAACATCACATGAGCAAGTTTGTTCAAGTGGTTGCATTTGGCTGGAGGAATCAGAATTTCTGTAATTGATGCTATAAGGAAGGGGAGGGCAAGAAATGGGTTTAGTGTTATTCTGCCTCTGAGGTGAGGGGCTCTTGAGCTTTGATAGCTGGAATAGAAGAGAAGGCAACCCATCTCTGTAGTCAAATCTCTGATCTTTCATCTTAACTGTTAAAACCCCCAGAACACTACCTTAGTCATTAACTGCTCTTTGCTCCAGTTCTGGGGAAAGAGACTTGGATCCAGCCACATCCACAGAAGAACTTTGGTGCCTAAAATATAACTTCAGGGGAACAAGGGCACCCAGGTCCTAGAGCGCAAGCCACAAAACCCCCATGCAGTTGTGTAGGCACCTGAGAGTCTCTAGGCACTTATGTTTTCCATTTAAGTTACTTAAGTGGTTAAGGTGCTGCTACTGAGCATTTCCAGGACAGCTGCCATTTTGGCTGTGTTGAGTGTGTCAACACCTATCTGATGCCTGATAAACTCAGGCAGTGCTTGTGTTTGTCTCATCTGAGGCACCTGGTCTGATATACTCAGACTATGGCTGACACTAATATCACTGAGTTCAGCACAAAGCACAGTAGCCATGACTGTAAACACATAGAGATGAAAAAGGGGCTCCTATCTATGTACCTTTCATGTAATAGAGCAGTGACAAGCACATTTGAAGTGGGAAAACTGGGTTCTAGGCCCTGTTTAGCCTGGGGGTTGGGAACCCACATTTTTCCACACTCCTCCCAGGAGTGCCAAATTAGAGGCTGGGTTGGGCTGGTACTATTTTCCATCCAGTTTGTTGAACCTGTATCATTCTGCAGGAAGATTAATGAGGCCAGTGAGACAGCAGGCAGGAGGGAGTGTGACTCTGTAGCCTAGTAATGAGGACGCTCCCATGGGATGTGAGAGATCTGGGTTCTAGTCCTTGCTCCAGGGATTAAATGCATTTTGGATTAAAGAGTCATGGGATAAACTTGCTTGGGGAACAGTCCAGCCTTGCTGCAGCTGTGTAAACCCACTGACATGCAATTACACAATGTTTTTATGAGATCCAGTTGATTACACGATCCAGTTGGCTGGGGTGATATGATCCCGGCACCCATTCCTGCCTGGGGCAGGGGGTTGGACCTGATGATCTGTTTAGGTCCCTTCCGACCCTAAGTACTATGATGCAGAAAGGGCAGAGGGAGGCTTGTACCCATTTTCTATTGCTCTTCCAATAAGACAGGAAGTGGGAGGGAAATGGGGTGTGGAGAGACCACCTGGGAGTGAAGATCTGGTCCCTTATATTAGCTCATAAATTTATTTCAGCTGTGGCGGTGTAACCAAAGAGACCTCCTCTGGCTGCCACATTTTGCCAAAAGCCTATCCCAGAGAAAAACAACACAAATGAGAGATCTTAATAACTTAGGCCAGACTTTTTCTGTAGCTTACACTGGGATAAATCTGAATTGACTTAAGTTGTGTTACACTACATATATAACTAGGTAACCCAGACCAGAGTTTAGCTCAAAACCTTCAGAAAGGACATTGAGCATTGTTCTTTGATTGCTGTTCCAAATTCCAGAGAGCCTCATTTCATGTGCTCTTTGTCCCCAAACTGGCTTGAAGTTGGTTTGCTTTCAGAGATCTCTAACCAGACCTAGGTAAGACTTTAAATTAACATTTTAATCCAAACAATAGCAAAATACATTGATGAAGTTGAAAGGCCTGATGAAGTTAAGATGCTACCTCATCATTTAAAAGCATTGCCACCAAAACTACTTCAGGAATAATCTTCTTAAATGGGGCCTCTGGGCATGTTGGCTACTGTTTTGGAGGTGGAACAGAAGGGAAAACAGTGTGAGAGAATTTGCATTTCAGAACTCTTGAGGTGTATTCCCATTCTTAGTCATCTCTTTGTGAGACTGCACAAGTCTCTCAGGCCTGGCCTGTCTACAACGCTTGCACTGATGTAATTGTTTTGATTAAGGATGTAGATATTTCCTAATGTACCTGCATTGGTACAAGAGCTAGTGTGGGTGCATTGTTATAACTTTGCCAGATAATGAAGTGGCAATACTAATGTCCTGGTACAGTACAACCAACTATCTCGCAGGCATGCTAAGAAAGTACAGGTTGGATGAATGGACTATAAGGTAGATAGAAAACTGCATGAATCATTGGGCTCAGAGCCTAGTAGTCAGTAGCCTGAGGTCTAGTTGGCAGCCAGTGTCAAGTGAAGTGCTCCAGGGGTCAGTCCTGAGGCTGGTTTTTTTCAATATCTTCATCAATGACTTGGAAGATGGCATAGAGTGCACCCTCAGCAAGTCTGCAGACGACACCAAGCTGGGGAAGTAGTAGATACATTGGAGAGTAGGGTTAGGATTCAGAGAGGCCTAGACAAGTTGGAGGATTGGACCAAAAGAAATTTCATAAAGTTAAATAAGGACAAGTGCAAAGTCCTGCACTTTGAATTAAACCAATCCCATGTACTGGTACCGGCTGGGGGCTGCCTGGCTGGACAGCAGCTCTGCAGAAAAGGACTTGGGGTTACGGTGGACAGTAAGCTGAATATGAGCCAGCAGTGTGTCTTTGATGCCAAGAAGGCTGATGCCAAGAAGGCTAACGGCATACTGGGCTGCATTGGTTGGAGTGTTGCCAGCAGATCAAGGGAAGTGATTATTCTTCTCTATTCAGCACTGGTGAGACCACATCTGGAGTACTGTGTTCAGCTTTGGGCCCCCCATGACCAAAAGGATGTGGACAAATTGGAGAGAGTCCAGCGGAGGTCAGTGAAAATGATTGGGGGCTAGGGGTCATGACTTACGAGGAAAAGCTAAGGGAACTGAGCTTATTTAGTTTGTAGAAGAGAAGACTGAAGTGGGGATTTGATGGTAGCCTTTAACTACCTGAAGGTTGGTTCAAAAGAGGATGGAGCTAGACTGTTCTCAGTGGTGGCAGGTGACAGAACAAGGAGCAATGGTCTCAAGTTGCAGCAAGGGAGGTTTCGGCTGGATATTAGGAAAAATTTTCTTGCTAGGAGGATAGTAAAACACTGGAACTGGCTACCCAGAGAGGTGGTAGAAGTTCTATCCTTGGAGGCTTTTAAGAGCTGGCTAGACTAAACTCTGGCTAGGATGATTTAGTTGTTGCTGGTCCTACTTTGAGCAGGGGGTTGGACTAGATGACCTCCTGTCCCTTCCCACCTTAATTTTCTGTGATTCAATGAACCTAGTTCATTAATATCTGGGTGGTTCATAACACCCTTAAGTTCATAGCAGGTTGCCTAGTTAAGGATGAGATGTTCAGGCAGGATTTTTCAAATGTGAGACTGTGCTTGGGTCACTGGAGATGCATGTGCAAAACTCAGGTTGTTTTTGCAAGGGAGGGTGACGTGCACCTCCAGCCTTCTGAAACTGGGGTTTTTGCTTTTGTAAATACAGTGAGCAAATGTGACTCCAGGTATATGCTGGGAATACAACTGATGTGTGAAAAGAGGCCAGTTTTTACAGAATCCCTTATCTGATTGTAATTGCAGTAATATCAGTCTTTCTAGGGACCCTGTTAAGTTGAAATGTAATTAGTTCCAAAAGATTACTTTAAAACAGCTTCAGTTCACACACCTCTCTTGCTCTCTCTTGCTCTTTCCTCTGCCCCAATTTATTTCTGTTGTTCTATACCATTTGACTGTCAAAATGCTCCCCACACCTCTGCCCTTCCCATCATTTGGAAAACTATGCATATGGTCTGTGCAAACTATAAAAATTGCAGAGGTCACATAAGTAAAGGCAAAGTGCTATGAAATGCACATGATGACCACAATTCACGGGAAAAAAAGAGATTTCCCTTCCTCCTATTCCCCCTTGTCTGCCACCACTTCTAATCATTCACCTGTGATCTTAGGTGACTTACAACGCCAAGTAAAAGTTTTTTCTTACAAGTGTGTCCTTAAACAGAATATGTCTTTTAATATATTCAGTTACCATAACTGGTGTTTGAAAAATAATTAGCATGCTCACAGTAAACCAGACACACTGGGAGATTGTATTCATTTGGGAAGTCATTGATGTGTTTCTAGGCCTATACCATAGCCAGTATTTCTTCCCATACAAAACTTAAGGTACAGTACTTGTAAAAGTTCTTAAATTTAAAATAAAAGCATTTCATGCTCCTGACTACACTTCGTATTGTTTTTCACGTATTGCACCTGTATCTCTCCTCTGCTTAGCCACTGTTCCCCTTTTCCTAGTGTCCACAAAAACTGTTACATTCAGACTGACTGTACAATATAAAGCAGTTAAGTCTAATTTGAATTCCTTTTCCTCTGTTCCTAGCCATAACCATTCAGAAATACACTTGGCGGAGACAGACATGTAAAAACCCTAAAACGTATGACTAAATCTTGAAGTAGGTCTTATGAATCAAAATCTAATCTCAGAAATGAACCTCAGCATTCTGATTTATAACACTTTTTTCTGCACACCTCCATGAAACGCTCTCTGAAAATGTTGAATTCTATAAGTCAGTGCTGGAAAAAAACCCTACCAGCAGATGCTCATTTTAGTTTGTACTGCTGGCCTTTAAATTAATTGCTTCCATATACAGTATTTCACTGCATACTGCTAACACTTAAGGATCTCTTCTCTAAACTTGAAATTAGCAAAGTAAATCACATTATTTCCGGATTTAACAACCTCTCTCCAAGAGCCTGCAGAACAAAAAAACCTTCCTGAAGAAAATGCTAACTTTGAGTTTAAGTGAAATTCTCCTTCAAACTACATTGCCTGGGTCAGTCTTATTTATTTATTTTACAATTTCTCTTAGACCTGGGTCTTGTTTGATCCACAGATCTGAGCAGCCCTGAGGCTTGGGGGAGTTCAGATTTATTTCTGAACTCTGAAGCTCAGCTCTGGTTCCCTCTCCGCCCCACCCAAAATGTCAGATATGTTTCCACCTCCTCCTTCTTGTTTCCTTTTCCCACTCTCTCCCTTCCCACTTACTATAAAGTCACTGAGTGATAAGCTGTGGGAAGTGTTGATTCCCAGGATAAGAACAAGTGGAATGGCATTTTGTCCATTTCTCCTAAATTCAGTGTGCTGTATTACCAGTTAGAACAAGCTGGTGGTCATAAAGGTTCTCTTCCCCAGCAGGCTAGAAAATAAAAAACAAAAGTGCAGCCTTTGTTTTTTCTTATTAGAGGTACCACAATAAGGGAAACATTTGGTTTTGCATATCCTTTGTTACTGGAAACAGATTAAAGGATAAGCTCCTCTGGAATATCATAGTATCCTACATAGTTGTGGGACAGGCAGTTAGGTAAGTCATCTGTTGGCTTGCAGGCTGAGCATGTTTGCTGACTTACCACCCAAAGAAACACGTACGCAAAATGTTTTTCATAGGCTTTATAAGCTTTTGTGCTTATTATTTTTGATTAATAATGTGCTTAGTGCTGAGAGGTGTGCTTAGCACTGTACAAAACAATGGTAAAAAAAGCAGCCTTTGACCTGAAGAATTTAATAGCCTGAAAGATAATTCCAGGGAATATGTATTTAGAAAGCGAGAGATGAGGATCATTTATAGGTGCTGTGTTTCTCGTTTTTCTTTTAACTCCCTTGCAATCAAGTTCAAAGTCAGTAAAATGGGGATGCTGACTTGTTTCTTCTTACCCTTTGTCCTGGCTTCTTATCTGGTAAGCTTTTTTGGGACACTGGCTGTATCTTACGTGTTTGCACAGTGATACCTCAACCTCAGTCAGAGCCCTGAGATGTTGTTATAAGAATAATCTCTTTATGAGCATTTCAGAAAAACAATTTTGGAGGAAGATTTCAATGTAGATAGGCTACAGGCATTTTGATTGGGTTCTTAATTAGGAGCAGAGTGACTAAGAAGGAAGAGAAAGAAATAAACTAAACAAAATGGTTGTACTGTGGCAGGGTGGAGGCAGGGAATATGATGAAAAAAGCCTCTGGCTTGTTACACTTTTTAAAAATTGAAATAAGTTTGCATATAAATGGCTGCTTCTGTCTATCTCAAGTGCTATTCATGCACAGGAAAATTGTGGTGTTACATCTCATAGTAAACAACAACTATATCCAGGACAGTACTCCCAAAGATCTGTGGAGTTTCAAATGTAAAAAGGACTTACTTGTGAGACTTGCAGACATTTTAGATTACACACTGGGACCCAGAGACAGAGAGCCCATAGAGATTGCTGACCATCCCTTAGGCAAATGGTATGAAGGAAAGAATGAAAATGTTTTTACCACACATACAAGATGGGAGGTCATGGAAAACTGAGGCAGAGCTGTTTGGATAACTGATTGGATATCTTTTTGTGTGATGGTGTTTTCTTTAAGTGTAACACTTACCTTGGACTGGTTGTTTTGTGGCAAATGCAATGTTCTCTTTTTCAGAACACTGGCTTTGATTAAGCCTGATGCAGCACCCAGGGTTGGAGAGCTAATTGATATCATTATTAATGCCGGCTTTACAATAACCAAGGCCAAAATGATGGTGCTTTCACGGTAAGGCTCTATGAACATTTACTGTAGGATTGGAATATTACTTTTTTTTATTTCACTGTATTTTCCTAGTTATTCCATGTTCAGCATATTAAAGTGATACTACTGAGTAATAAAGAAAGCAGTAATCTATTTCATAATGACATGTAAGTTCCTCAAACAGTGTAGAGACCTTACAGTGTCTAGGTAATGAAAAAGTCCTGTGCAAATGTTATTGGGCTTACTGCAAGTGTGTAAATATATAATGTGTGCTTGAATAAAAATAGAGGTCATTCTCATAAATTCAGCACTCAGATGATGCTTGCTAGTAACACATTTCTTTGCCTCCACTTTTAATTACCCAGTTGCCTAATGCAAGCTTGATTGCTAATTATGGTACAGTTGTTTCAAGTTGATTAATTTGTTGCCTTACAGTAAATCCACAGTTTTAGTCTGTGCGCCTAGAACCAACCTTGCCACCTTCTGCAGCTGCTGTGGAAGTCCCTAGAGACAGCGCAGTCTGTGTGGCTCTGCTGAGGGCAAGGGCAGTGCTGACCTGTATGTGGCTTCTGCTCCCTTGGTATGAATGTCACTCGGATGCCTGACCACTGGTGGCCAGAGAAGACTAGCTGGGGAAAGAATGGATTTGGTGGATCTACCACAAAGGGGTTTGCCAGGATCCTTGCATGGCTACTCCACTGTGGTTATGCCACACCTATCTACACAACATCCCTGAGCAGAAATATCACCTTATCTTTAAATATGCCATCTTTCCAAGAGTCCTATTCTAAGTCTTGTGGTTCTCATATGCCACAAGGAGGTATTCCCTTACCTCAAAGTTTTTTGGTTCTCCTAGGTAGTGGTAGGATAGGACATGACTGCCTCTCTCTGTGATCATATGCTGCTGTCTGCTACTGCACCTGACCCTACCATTGTAGTTTACAAATAGTCACGTATCTAATACAGAACCCCTCTCCACCCAAATCTACATCCAGGCTTTCGGGTATCTTTGTGGGATCTTTTCTAGCCATTCAGTCTGTTCTTAATAATTGCAAACTATTCTGTGGTTTGATGTTCTGTCATTTCACTCGCTTTGTCCTGAAGTAGTAGGCTCCTCCTTATTTCTGTGGGCGGATTTGTTCTATGATTGAAGGTTTGAGGTACATCTTTGTTTTGGATATGGCTTACTTTGAGGAAAAGAAATCCTAAAGTTTGAGATGAGATTTAAACTCCTTTTACTTTATAAGTGACTCCATGCCTGTGTAGGGCTGTCAAAGAATTTTTAAAAATTAATGGCAATTAATTGAGAGATTAAAAAAACTAGTTGTGTTAACTGCACGGTTAAAATTGCAATTAAAACAATAATAGAATTCTTTCCCCTCCCACCCCAGGCACTGCTGGTGTCCCCCACTCCTGACCTGCAGCCCCCTGCACCCTCCAGCAGCATTGCCTGGGGCTGCCTGGCCCTTGCCACCCTCAAAGGGCACCCCCCCCCATTCCCCTGTTGGAGGGGCAGGCACCTCACCCTGCCCTGCCACAGCCCCAGTGCTTGGATAGCTTCTCCCAGCACTGGAAGGCACCCCCCCACACACATACACGTACACACACCCTGGACAGTCCCCAAGCCCTCCAACCTCTGCTCCCCATCCAGATGCTGAATCTGCTCCCAGGACCCTGCTTGGCTGCTTGCTGGCCATATATATGTGCGGCCGGCAGCAGCAACAGGGGAGGGGCTGCTTTTCCCCCTATCACCTGGAGCGCTTAACACGTTAAAAAAATAATGCAAAAATGAATGAACGCATTAATCGCACGTGTTAACTGTCATTAATTGACAGCCCTAATAATGATTAATCATTACCTAGCACCTCATTAGACTATAATATTTAATGGCTCAATATATAAATGGTGACTTGATAATATGGAGTTTTTATGGGGCCCTCTATGTTAATCCATGATAATGCATCATAATTCTAATGGTAGCACTGAATTATTGTCACAAGCCGAGTGTGACGGTTCTCTGTACGGTTATTTGTCCAGAATAGCATTGGCATCTGCTGCTTTCTTTAAAGGGGATTATTGCTGACATTTGCCTGGAAAACTCTGTTAACTTGATTCACACCACCTGTAAAAAAAAAACAACATTGCTTAGGTATGAAAGAAAGGTCAGACATGTGCTGTGAAAGGCCAGTTCTTCTGTCTCCTCAGTTAATCATGCCTCAGTCCAACCCACTGTTCAAGATAAATCCTGCTTTCAGTGCTCTATGAGTCCAATTCTGCTGAGACTGAATGCAAAAGGGGGTTAGATTTTGGACAGTCAGTCCAGTTTTGTAATTACTGCAATAGCAGTTTTCCTTGACTAAGCATTGGAGCCAGGGATATGCGTGGTTTAACTGTTCACAAATATTTGTTCAGGTTTATAAATGATATTGCTTAAGACTGTCTTCATACCCTTTTGCAGTTCGCTTTCCATGAATATTTTAGTCAGTGCACTTACTGGAAGGAAGTTTTGCTGAAACAGTGGATTCTAAACACCTATTTTAGAATATTTGTGGGAAGAGGGTTTTATTTCATTTTAGAAAAAACCTTCAGTTCCCCCCCTTAGTAAGCAGAAATGTACCTTGTAGCCTGCATTTCCGATCAAAAAAACTCAAATTTTGAATGTCTATTACTTTGTGAACTACAACCTACAGGTTAAAAATTCCTCAGCAAATAATTTTGACTAACACGGGAGAAAATTATGATTTGTTTACAGATACACGAAGAGTGATAGAAATGAACTTTTTCAAATATATGGGTCACTATACAGAAATTATTCCTCTACTTTGAGTAAGGACTGCAATATTAGACTCGGGGACTGTACCAGTGATTCTCAACAAGGGTGCCGGGAGATCCTTTCAAAAGTGCTGTGCAATGTTAGCAGTCTTAGGTGTGTAAACATGATTCACATGTAAACCTAGAGATTTCTGTAGTGTTAAAAACCTCCTGATCTGTTGTGGTCTTTCTGAATTCTTTGCAACAGAAGTATTGTCCTATTATTTTTCTGTAGTCAAAATACAAAAGAGCTGGCATTTTTCTGAGGGGTGCCTCAAGTCTTAAAAAAAGGTTGAGAGCCACTGGACTCATGTGTAAGTGCAAGTGTCTGATATGATCTTTCTCCTCCTTCCCTGTCTTTGTAGAGGGTAATTTACAGACAGGCGTGTTGTACACTGGAGAGAATTTGCCAGCTGATGTTAGAAATGATCATTTGTGAAGGCCAGGATAGTGCATTAGATCAAGAGCTGCTAGAAGTGAGTGAATTGCGGTGATACCCACACATTTCAGAGAACAGTTTTTGTAAACAAATAGGACACTTCAACCTTGTTTTCCCCCCATTGGTACTTGCGGATTTTGTAACTGGCATTTGGCTTGCTGACCTTTCCTCACCGAGTAATCTTCACTGCAAATCTTTAACTTAATGGTGAACTCTGCACCTCGGCCATGGGCTTGGAGCTATGCTGCTTCTCCACGGCAGTCGCTCTCCCTTTCCAGGAGTTTGGATTTCTCTGTATCACATCTTCATAATCGGGTGCTCTCCAGGGTTCAGAACAAACCAACACCCATTACAATTTAAAACCTAAACCTGTTAAATTTGGATTTGGGATGTAGCAGAGCACTTTAACATCCCTTATGAATTTGGTAGCTACTCCATGTGAAGAAGTCCTAGTGGAATCAATTGGACTTACATCATGCAGCAGTTACAGAGCATACACCTCAAAGCAAGGAGGGAAGGAGGTTGCTAGCTCTAGCTGATGCTGTTGTAAGAAAATCACTGGCTGGTAGAACTGAGGTCCACAGTACATTCAGTGCAGCTTGTAGAAACAACTAACTGCCTCAGGTACCATTGACATAGTGGAACAGATCACAGCATGGGCTGCAAAGCTTGCCCAAGAAGCTGAGTAGATATTTAAGTGGCTAGCATATACTGATCTCCATAATGCTAGTTATATCTCCAGTAGTACCTGAGCTAGCTAGTCACTTCAGCGTTGACATGCTGTTAGACTAGCTTATTTACTTTGTAAGCTTGGGGATTGCTTCAGTACAGTAGTGCAGACAGGTGTAAAAACCGCATATGTGGCAATTAGTGTGTTCCCATAGGGAAAATGTAGGGCCATAGCAAGTTTCCAAGTGGAAAAGTAGTGGGGGAAAACAGCTTCTCTTCCATCAACACTGAGAAGTGTAAAGTGCTCCATCTGGGGAGGAAAAATCCACAACAAACTTGCAACCTTGGTGGTGCTACTTTAACTAGCATCATGTCTGAAAGGGACCTGGGGGTCATAACTGACCATAAAATGAATATGAGCCACCAGTGTGATGCTACCATTAGCAGAGCAAATAATACCCAGGCATGCATCAACTGATGCATCTCAAGCAAAACCAAGGAAGTGATTCTCTTGCTCTACTCAGCATTGGTGAGGCTGCAGCTGGAGTACTGCATCCCGTTCTGGGTGCCACACTTCAACAAGGATGTGGAGAAGCTTGAGAGAGTCCAGTGAAGGGTCACTTGTATGATTAGAAGCCTGAAGAGCAAGTCATATGAGGAAAGGCTGACAGATACAGAACTGTTGAGCCTAGAAAAGAGAAGATTTGGTGTGAGAGTTGGTGGCAGCTTACAGATATATCAGGGGTGAGCATCAGGGGCTAGGCAAACAACTGTTCAGCAAAACGCCCTGGGGCAAACCAGGAGCAACAGTCATAAACTCATAGAAGGTTTCAGACTGGATATTAGGAAAAACTTCTTCACAGTTTGTGTGACCAGACTGGAATAGACTCCCAGCGGGGGTGATACAGGCACTTATCCTGGAGATCTTCAAAAGGAGACTGGATGCACACTTTGCTGGGGTTATTTGACCCTAGCAGTCTTTCCTGCCCAGAGCAGGGGGGATGGACCCAATGATTTCACAAGGTCCCTTCTAGCCCTAAACTTCTGTGAATCATCCTTTTCCTCATTTTCACCTCTTTTCTAGAATTCAGAGAGCTTTAATGCATTCAGATGCATCTGCAAACAGAAGCTAAGGTGCAAAAAGTTCTATGGCCTAATAACCCAGTCTGACAAAAAAGGGGTTTGGGGAAGTAGTCCAGTTACAGTAAGAAAGTTATGGGCAGATTTGTAGCTTATTATCATGAATGTATTTCCAACCTGTGTCTCTAAAATAACAAACATTATGTAACCTAGGTGGCTGCACAATAGTTGCCACCCCTGCCCAGTATCGGGGATGGTGTGGTGAGAGTGGGGCAAGGCTTCCGGCCAGCACCAATTTACTTTCCAGCCGGCCCCTGCTCTCCACAGAGCAGCCTGTGGTTCCAAGAAGGTCTAACACTTAACTGATTTAACTATTTACACTTTATTTACAAAACAAGAATAATAGGAAAAGTTATTTACAAGTGAACTTAAATGGCATAACCAGAATCACAAAACAAACCAGAATGCATTAGTCAACCCTTGACTCAAGAACCACAGGTAGGATAACTGGCAGCTTTCAGCCACTGCTGAGATGCTACCGCAAGGAAGCAAGGTGCTTACTTCCAGCAGCTCCAACAGGCTTCCCAGTAAACGACAGACTGCAACAGTGTAGGCTCTTCTGGTCTGCAGCAATCAAATTGTATCAAACCCCAATCCCCCAAAGAGGCTGTAGGGTGACCCTCCATGACAACCGACAAGGCAAGCAACAAGCAACAGAGTAGGCTCCTGCAGCAATTGGCATGATCCAAGCACAAAGCTCAGGGACTCCATCCGATGACAGTCAGCTGCAGAATAAGGGACAGGACTGAGTCCCCTCTGAAGCAGTCAGTGGCAGAGGGTCAGCAGGACAGGCAGCTCCCAGGGGTCGTTGCTCTAAACCCTTGCTCCAGTTGATTGACCGGGCACCCCACACACCTCTCAGCTTGCCAATCCCGCTCCGAGTGCCAGCCTGCGCTCTGAGCTCCCAGGGACCCTTGTCCTGGTGCTCTGCTGCTCCTCAGGATCCCAGTGCCTTGCCTGCTGCTGTCCTGCTTCCCCAGGAAAGGTAAGGGGTTTCCTCAACTCAGCGGCCCAGCTCTCTGCTCCGGATAAGGATGCCTCCTGCGCTCCTGGCCACTGCTTCTTCTCTGCAGTGGAGTGGGGGGCCGACTGCTACCCCTAGCCTCCGAGATGCCCCACACATCCAGCCCACTGCAATGGGGCCTTGGGGCACCAGCTCTCTGCCCCAAGCCCTGGCTGCTGCTCCCTCTTTGCTGCAGGGCTGGAGGCATGGCCGACTGCCTCTGCCTTCTTCTCCCAGGGTCTACGAGGCTCTTCAGAGGGGTCTCTCTGCTCCTGTGCTGGGTCAGCTCTCCCCAGCTCTTCTTAGGCCTCCTGCGTCATTCCCTGGAGTCACTGTCAGCAGCCCCCACATGCCAGTTCAGCTGCTGCTTTTATCCCTTCTGGCAGTCCCTCCCTGGCTTGCAAACTGGCCAACCAGGGCTCAGCGTGGCTGGCCCCCAACTTCAGCCGTCCCCCTTCCATGTGAATGAGGGGATTGAAAACCCCTTCTTTCGATTGGCTTCTCCTTTTCTATAGGGCAGGGCTCCCCTGCTCCACCCTTGGGATCGCTCAGAATTCACCGGCACTGTTTCTAGCCCAGGGTAAGTATCTCACACCAATCTGGTGAACCCACATTGGCAGTCTATTACAATTATAAGGAAGGTGACTCTGATGCTCTTGTTTGCCTTTTCTCATAATACCAGAACATGGGAAGAGCCAGTGAATTTGAAAGGCAGATTTGCTACACAATATCATCAAAGCCAAGAGCGTAGGAGGATTCACACTAGAAGGATTATTTATGTGGCTAAAAACAGTATTAGCAGTTGTGCTAACAATAGTAAAAGATGTGGAAGCATACAGATTCTTTTACCTCCAGGCATAAGCAAACCCACAAACTGTTGGGAAGAAACTACCTGTAGAGGCATATTAGTGAAGAACTGTTCATGCATGTCTTACATGTTTGTTTGGTCTCTTCTAGGAAAGAAGCAATGGATTTCTATGTAGACCATCAGTCCAGGCCTTTTTACAAGTAGGTACTTATTTTTTTAGGTTAATATGATCATTAACTGTGGGGGGGAGGGGAGGAGAGAAAACATCATGGTGAGATTTTATTATGTGACACTACAAGATAATGGCTAACCCAGAGCTGGTCTTGATTTGCAAGGGCCCCACGTAAAGTATACCATTGAACCTCATTCAGCTTTCCCTAGAGCACTATACCTCCCAGCTGGTGGATACCTGGCTCCACAGCCCTCTCATGCTGATTAAGCGCCAAGGAATGCATACACCTTATGAGGAATGAAAATGATCTGAGCTGGGGAGGGGACTCAACATTTAGAAGGCAGCATCTTCAGGCACAGAATGGGACTTGCAGGCAGTGACAACTGGAGTGGAATGACCAGTTTTGGATACTGATTTGGCAGCAAATGCCCAAAAGTGTGATTTCTTGCTCGCAAGCATGCCCTCTTGTAGGGCTAGTCCTAAACAAAAAGCAAAACTCTATGGGGTCTCTGTACTGCTTTATATATTGAATGCATGATATATTAGATCTCTCCATAAGTGACTGAATGAATATGCATATAGACAAATTCACCCTTCTAAAATACTGAGTTCCATAATACCAAGAGGCTTCAAACAACAAATCACTCTTTCCATTCCTGGATTTTTCCAAGCACAAGTCTTCTCAGTCTTTGTTACCTTTTAACATGTTCGAGGCAAGGTTTTTCCTGTCTTTGTGGCTTATGCAGCATTGAACATATTGCCTGTGCTAAACAAGTAATAATTTGTGTGTGCATGCATGCAAGAGTTTCCAGAGGCATTGCGTTCAAGTAAGGTAAATGCTGTTTGTTGATCTACATTTAGAATTTGTTTGGCTATGAAAGGAGGTCACAATAAAGGCAAGGTTGCTTGACATACATTCCTGAGTCTAGACCTAGGTTTACAACTCTTACATAATTTACCTGGGTGAGGTCAACCCAAAGGTTTCTATTTTTTGTCATGCAGGGACTGTAGGTTGTAATGACAGAATTTTAAAGGCCCAATTTCAGGATGATCTTTGGGTTCCTGAGCCTCAGGAATATAATTGGCAGGTTTCTTCTGGGAGTAATAGGTGGAGATGGTTTCCTTCTTTCCATGGAAAAGGAAATGATTCAAGGAAACTTTTGACCATTTTGTAGAGCATCAAGGAACTCAGCTTGTCATCTTTTTTTCTTTTCCAAGTTAATCTGCTTGGATAGGTTCATAAATGAACAAGAATTCTGTTTGCAATTTTATTCATGCCTGGCTAAACTAATGGCAGTTATCTGAGAAACTGTGAGCTGTCTGTTCACTATGTTTATTTTGTCTGTCATCCAGGGCTCTGACTGCCTGGTATTTACTGGACAGTATTTTTTCTTTGCATTGTAGTAAGAGAACAAAAAAATATCCAAATGCTAATAAAAATGTTAACTCTCATATCTGATTGCTTTTAGCATTTCATTAGTGATTTATTATAGTGTCTTTATAAACAGTCCTCTCAGATTTAATTGGCAAACTTGATAGTTAATGAAAGTCTACTGAATAGTAGGAAAAACTATTATTACTTCTTGAGGAAGTAAAATGAAATAATAAAGGATGTTTAATTTCATATTTTGTAAAAAGCATTTGGAGCTTGCCAGAAATGATATTGTTTCCCATATGTATAAATCTGTAACCCTAAAATGACTGAATAAAAATGTTTGCAATTTTCTAATTCATTGTGTGACAGCATTATGCTGTACGGAGCTTAAGAATATGTGAACAGGTTATTAAAACTTGTGGCATACTGCATATGTTCAAAAGGCCAGTGATAAAGGTACACTTAATGAACTAAGTTTGAACTCTCCTAATCTTGTGTTTTTTAACCATACAATCTGTACGGTCTCCCAAAATCAGTCTCTTCCCCAAAATCTCAAGATTTCTACACTGTCAAGAATGTTATCACTTTGATTAAAAACCCTACAAACCACTTTCTTTTCTCTCCTTTGTGTTTCCAATAGTATGATGTCTTCTCATTTTGGCTCTTACATCCCAAAGTCCTCAGGTGCCTTATCTTTTTGCAGCATCGAGCAAATTGCCTATACTAAACATATGAGGATAATTATATAGATATAAAAAACCATAGAATATAATATACAAGTCTTTTATAGATATAAAAGACATACAATATACATATTGTATTATTTCCTGCCTCACTATGTTGTTATGTTCAGTTCAGAGTAAAATCAATAAGATAGAATAGGCCCTTTGTTTCTATGTTAGTGAGGGACAGGAGTTAGATGCAAGTCCTCTGATAGTGGAGTAGGGAATAGGAATTTTGATGTGAATATATTCTTGGTAAGGAAGATGCACAGGTTGAGTGCAAGTCTTGTATGGGAGATTCATGTGGAAGGGACAGATTGGGAAATACACTACTCCGAGTAACGAGTACGCTTGTAACATCCACCATTGCTCATGTCTGTGGGCATTCTTCTGAAGTCTGGTGCTACCCGCCACTTTGTGTTACAACTTTTACTATGAACTGATGTACTTTTGCTGCAACACTGATGAGGTTTGCGCATTGGGGTCAGAGCTGGTGAAGTTTTTCCTTCTGAAGAATTCATCACTGCTTTCTCTCTGTATTTTGTAGTGAGCTTCTCCAGTTCATTACAAGTGGTTCCATTGTTGCCATGGAGATTTTAGGAGATGATGCTGTGTCTAAATGGAAGATGTTACTGGGACCTGCAAACTCTGGTGTGGCACAGACTGAAGCTCCAGATAGTATTCGAGCCACATTTGGAATAGATGGTATAAGAAATGCAGCTCATGGCCCTGACTCTATTGCTTCAGCAGCTCAAGTAAGATTTTAAATGTATTAACTTTGCTCATTTACTGAGTTGTATCACAATCCAGTGATTGGGCTGCAGTCGGTACAGAAATCCCAATGCTGTTTTTTCAGTTGAATGTAGTGCTGATTTATGCATTCTGCATAGTGATATTTGTAGACAGAAGTCTTATCTCCAACACAGACAGCTGCAGAGTAAGCTATCTTTATGCTACCGTGTCTGTGCACTTCTGCTCTGATTAGAAGAGACTACACTTGAAAAATTTGTCTAAGACTAGGAGTCTAGCCCTTCTATTGTTTGCTGTATGCAGTATACATAAAGTCCTTTTGTATACTGTAGACTTCATAGCCTATCACTCTAAATCCTGAAAAGCAAGAAAATTGGGTTCTAAATCATTCAGTACCACCTGTGCTCCACTCAGGCATTCTCCTTCATCATCCCAGCTACTTACTTTCCCTCCATCACCCACAACTCATATCTCTCTGGCATCATCCTGAACAATCAATAGCTCCCGTTGAACTTCAGCTAGGTTTGCTATAGATATAGTTCTGTGTTTTGAGTAGGAGTGACTCATTTCAGGTAGCTTTTTATGTGGCTTTGTATTGCGGTGTGAGACACAGGGTGTCATTTCACACTAACAGTTTACAATCTACTATTTTCTGTGATGCTTAGGAAAAGCATGGAACTGGATAGATTTGTGTTACCAGTACTGAAGTATAAATGATGATAAGTGATATTTGCGTGTTATGGGGATTTGTGTTTACAACTGTGGGGCTAAAGATTGCATTTTGGTCAGTATGAAGGTTTGCTGGGCACTTTAGTTGGCTGAATAGTTTGTTTGTTTCCTTACTTCAGTTTGCCTTCCACTAGGCAGTTTACTACTGCACCAAGAAGAGAGACGAGCGACTTTGTCCTGACCACTGGGGTATACTCAAGTCTGGGAGACTCAGCTTCAAGTCCCTGCTCCAGTAAATGTTTAATTACTTATACAAAATGGGACAGGCTCCATTGAGAGAGACTGAGGGACTCGCTTGAGGACTCATCAGGGATGGGGGGGGCATGATCTAAACCAGGTGGAGCAGGATCTAGAACTGAGGTATCCTACATCCCATATATGTGGGGCCTGTTGGTGAGGGCAGAGTCAGTCTCTTCCCCTCTCCTTTTTTCCTGGTCCAGTGTCAGGCTGCTTAGTGCAGCAGCACAAGCTGTGAGGTAAAGAGACAGTTATTCAACCACTCATCCACGCTGCACTTCACAGCCCAGTGTCCTAAGATCTGGAATATTGGCTGTCCTGAGGTCTATCTGGTTTGGATAGAAATTCTATCCTGGAGCTAAAAAATCAAGAACTTTTTTTCCAGCTATTTTGTTGGTCTAATAAAAGATATCACATCTACCCAAAGAACCTTGGGAACACAATGATACACATTTATAGGCAAGTCTAGCAAAATAATTACACAGAAATAAAAAAAGAGAAAAAGCAGCTAGGTTTTTCAAAGTAATTACCTTAATATAATAAGGAATGGTCTTTCAAAAAATAATTAAACAGGCACATTAGAACAGCATTTTTATTGATGGTTATTTCTCTAACTAAAATCCCATGCCAGATATCCTTAGCCACAGCCTTTGGCTCCAGAATATGGTATTGTTATCCTTCCAGTGTACCCTGGCAGAGAAAGATATTTCTCGACTCTCAACTTTAGCTCATTGAGCTAACATGGGAAAATCTAAATTTGACTTGACTGTATCTGAAACATACTACTACTTAACTGAGAGGCAACTCAAGAAGCTCTGAGACTGTTATACAAGGTAAAAAAATCTGATGATTTTGGTAGTGTCTACAGGTTATTATTATTTTCTTTTAAAAGAAATTCATTGAATTTCTGCACTGAAGATGGCTAATAGTCTAATTGGCTATATCAAGGGAAATTAGCTAATGTTTGCTTGCAGGTTGTTCTGACTGTGGTAGATGATGAAGGTGGAAGAAGGCATGAAGTTAGGAGTGATAAAAGAAGGCAAAAGCAACAGTTAGGAAAAGACTTGGGAAGAACTTGTGTTGCAGGTTGTCAGGCGTTGAGGGTACTATGTTGATGCAGAGCTATTCTCTTGACTTACCCAGGTATCTGGGCCAGGCCAGAGCCCAAATTCAGAAAGATTAAAGGTAGAGAAGATTTAAAGAAAGGGGAGTCAGCCAAGAAATTCAAGCAAGTTTTGTTACTTATTAAGAATAAAAGAATTCTCAGAGGAGGATTGAGGTCCAGTGTGCATACTAATCTTGTATGTATGTGCATGCTGTATTAAGAGCTAAGTGGGGATTCCACCCATTCATTTAGGGAAGAAGATGTAGTGTCCGAAGAAATGAGATTAAAGATGCAGAGAAAGGAATGGATTTGTAGGGTAATATGAAAGTTAGAATAAGTTTGAACTGAATACAGAAATGTAGGAAGAAGTGGTGTCAAGAAACCTGACTAGGGCAACAGCATAGTTCAAAATGTAGCTAAGGCAGGAAATATGTCTGTAGCAATGGTGCTAGGGAGAAAAGGATACATTTTAAAGGGAAAATATTCTTAGCCCCAAATAAATGAATTAGACTGTCTTTTATGACTTAAGATGTCTCAAAATACTGCTTGTACTAAAGATCTGAGACATACCATTGACTGTATAGTGCTAAAACATTTTCATTTGCAATTGTTTTCAGGAACTGGAGCTGTTCTTCCCTTCAGGTGGAGGTCGTGGACCAGCCAATAGTGCAAAATTTATAAACTGTACATGTTGCATTATTAAACCTCATGCTGTTAATGAAGGTATGTACTGTGGGGTTGATTCCTTAATGAAACATAAAAACATAAGAAATGCCATACTGGGTCAGGCCAGTGGTCTGTCTAGCTCAGTATCCTGTTTCAGAGTAGCAGTAGTAGATGCTAGAGGGAGAGTGCTGTCCCAGCTGGATCTAGAGTGATCTGTCCCCTATTCATTCCCCCTATTCATTCATTCATTCATCCCCTATTCCCATTCCCATTCATTCCCTATTCCCCCTATTCATTCATTCATCCCCTATTCATTCCCTGGCATCCATCATTATTGGTTTAGAGATGCCAGAGGAAACATCTCCAACTGTTCTGTTAAATAGCTGTTACTAGATCTATCTTCCATGAATGTGCCTAGTCCATTTCTGATCCTGGCAACGCTGTCTGGTGGTACCTCTACCACCTCCTGGGCAATAAATTGTGCAAGTTAACTATGCATTGTGCAAAAATTATCTTGTTACTTTTGTTTCTCTTGTTAGTTTCTCATGTTAGTTAGTTTTACTTTCTCTTGTCTCCTACTAATTTCAGTGGATATGCCCTAGTTCTAGTATTCCAGGATTTGGTGAACAACAATTCCCTGTTCATTTGACCCACACCTTTTGTGATTTTTATAGATTTCTCACATATTCCCCCTCAGACTTCTTTTCCAAACTGAAGAGTCGTAACATTCTTTTAGTCTCTCCTGGTATGGCATCTGCTCCACAGCCCTCATCATTTTGGTTGCCGTTCTCTGTATCTTTTCTTGTTCTACTTTATGCTTTTTCAGGTGTTGGAACCAGAACTGCACACAGTATTCAAGATGTGGGTGCACCATCAATTTGTATAATGGCATGATAATGATCTCTGTTTGTTTTCCAGTCCATTCTTAATGATGCCCAGCATTTTATGGACTTTTTGGATGCCACTGCACACTGAGCTGATGTTTTTAGAGAATTCAGGGTCTGTTTTCTGACCTTGTTTCGGGAACTGGAGCTGTTCTTCCCTGCAAGTGGAGGTCATGCTTCAGAACACCTAGTTCATAACCCAGCCCTGTGTATGGGTCACTGAGGTTATTTTTTCCCAGGTACATAACCTTGCACTTGTCAACATTTGAAGTTCATCTGTCACTTTTTTTCCCCACTCGCTTAGCTTGGTGAGATCTTTCTGTAGCTCCTCTCCATCAGCCTGGGACTTGATTACCTGGCATAATTTGGTGTCATCCGCAAACTTGGACATTTCACTGTACACCCCCACTTCCAGGTCATTGATGAAAATGTTGAACAAAATAGAGCCCAGAGCAGATCCCTGCTGGACTGCACTTTTGACCTCCCCCCATCCTGAAAAGTAATTATTTAGCTGTACCCTTTACTTCCAATCTTTTAACCAGCTCTCAATCCACAAATGGAAGCTTTCTTCCAGTTCTGTGACAATGCAGGTTTTTTTTGGTGAGGGACCTTGTTGAAACCTTTTTGAAAGTTAGCTGGATCTCCCTTTTCCATGTGTTTATTAACACCCTCAAAGAACTCCAAGAGATTGGTGATGCAGAATTTCCCTTTACAAAAACCATGCTGACTCCTCCCCAGCAGATTATATTTGTCCATGTGACTGATAATTTTGTTCTTTATTATATATTGTACTAACTTGCCAGGCATGGAAGTGAGACTCACTGGACTGTAGTTCCCAGGATCACATCTGGACTCTTTTTTTGAAGATGGGTGTTATGTTGCCAAATCACTAGTCCACCAGCACAGAGGCCATTGTAACAATAGGTCACGGTCTATTGCCCGTAGTCATGCAATTTCATCTTTGAGCTCCTTCGGAGCTCTCAGGTGAAAACCACCTGATCCTGGTGACTTACTAGTATTTAGTTTATTGATTTGTTCTAAAACATCTTCTGCTGTCACTTTAATGTGGTCCAACTCTTCAGACCTATCTGCTGGGAAGGACTGATCTGGCATGAGAATTTCCCCAGTATTTTCTGCAGTAAATACTAATGCAAAGAACTTATTTAACTTCTCTGCTATGGCCTTATCATCCCTGAGTGCACCTTTTACATCCTGGTCATCTAGTTGGCTCCCTTCTTCTGGTATGTTTTTAAGAGCTTTTATTATTATCTTTTCAGCTCCTTATTTGGCCTGCCTTATTTCATTTTTACATTTTACCTGTCAGAGTTTGTGGGCTTTGCTGTTTTCCTTATTTGGGCATGCCTTTCATTTTTTGAAGGATGCATTTTTCATTGAATGGCCTCCTTAACTCTGCTGTTAAACCATGCAGGGTTTTTTTTGGTGGTCTTGGTACCCTTTTGATTTGTGGAATACAGTTTTCCTAAGCCTCTAATATAGTATTTTTAAACAACTTCCAAGCTGCCTGCATGCCTGTTATGTTTTTGACTGCTCCTTTAAATTTCTTTCTAACTTCCTCTTTCCGTGTAACTTCCTTTTCTAAAGTTGTATATCAGGGTGGTGGAATTTTTTGACTTACTCCCTCCTGCTAAAATATTGAATGTGATTGTTATGGCTGCTATTACAGAGTGGCTGACTAGCAGACACCTCGTGATTGTTACTTGGGATTAAGTCTAGAAGTGAATCACATTGACATCATTATTTAGAAGCGTAAGGGTCTGCAGGATCGGACAAACTGTAGGAGTGCACAATATTTTGCCTTAGTTTGTGTATTCTCTGTACCATTTCTAGACACAAGCAGCAGGGTTTATTCACCATTAGTTCAGAATAACGGAGAAAAAACCCAAACAAATAAACATAAATCTTCCAATAGAGCGTCAATCAGATTCTGTAACAAAGTCTCTGCTGGACAAGCAGGCTGTAATAGACAGGAAATAATTATGACCTTTTTTGATGTCTGCTGATCTGTATGCACTATGGTTAAATTTGCAGTTCTTCCAGAGTGGGTGCATGTTTATAGTTGAATTACATTAGTGAGGTAATTAAAATAAAATAGTAAATGAACAAAGACCTTTGCTGAATGCAATACTCTATTTAAGTTATAGTTCCGTTTACTGTAATGATATCACATTATACACTCTGTGCTGAGAAATGTTGAGTCCCCTCATCACATAATTATTTTTAATACTTGATATTCAAGTGTGACCACAGCTAGATGATTCAGTTTTTTCAGTCCACAGCCTTCAGGGGCAGGAGAACAAAGAGGAGCAATATCCAAAGTTTAATAACATGTCCCCACTCTCATGTGTAAAACTATTTATATAGAGAATAGATATTGTCACTCCTGATATTTCATAGATCTTCCTCAAGCCATCAGTAGGCCCCACAATAGACTGTCACAAAAGTATAAGAAGAAGGATAGGATGTGGCAATAGTGGTCTCCAGGCCTTTGGCTTCTCACGTGGGATGTCAGGACAGTTTGCTACACAAAGCATTTTCTTAAGAAAGCATCTTGCATTTGCTACTGATAAAGAGAAAGTTACCTCTACAAGGCCTTGTATAGTATCTGCTACTGATAGATACCCTTGCTATGCAGCCAAGACACAGAAACTCTCTCCTCATACAGAACTGACATCAACAGTAGCCTGGACTGTGTTTGTATATAGTATAAATGTTTGATGGGGGACAACAAAAAGTAGTTTTATCACAGCAAAATTGGCAGATACCTGAAACTGAGTTTGAAAGTTACAGAGCTTAGGGCCTGAGCCAGGCTGTTAAGAATTTTAAGACATTTTACCCAGTGAAGCTCCAGCTACGCTTTTAATGAGATATCAGGTGTCTCTTATCCCTGTTAGTGTCTCTTGACCATCTGCATGCCTTTCCCCTATTTTCTGGATTTGCCTTGTCATTGAAGGATAAATCCTGCCCCATTTCCACCAATGTTGAGAGTCTTGGGAAGCTCAAGAATTAATGTGGTCCCACTGAGTGTGGATGTTGTGGGGGGCAGGGGCATTCTGGAAGGTTACACAGAATTGGTATGCTTGCCTGGGTGAGGTGGAGCCCATTTTTGCAGATGGAGCTTGGGTTGAGTTTAGGAAATCAGCTCAACCACTTTAGTCATTTCTCTTGTTCCATGGAAGGGCTGGGAAGGTGGAAGGCTAACTGTTACTCAGCTAAACTGGAAGGTGTTGTTTTATTTTACGTAGGTGAATTATATTATTGAATGGTGAGATTCAGTAACAGTTTCTTGTGAGACCTACCCAGGCTTTTCATCTCCTCCGTGTTCTCTCCACTGTCTCTCTTAATACAGATGCCAGAGATGCTAGAGCCTACCTAGAGAGCTTATGAGATTTTAGAGACTGGATTGAGAAACTGTCCAAAAGCTTGAGGAGAGGCAGGAATTTGGAACTGAGGAAGAACAGAGTTGCAAGGGCCCTGGTGGCACCTTCTCTTACCCTTAAATTGGAGTAGCATATGCAGCACAGAGCTATTTCTGTTCTGCTACTGGACAGTGAAGGTTCCCTCAGGTCAAATGAGGCAGGCTTCTCTCCAGTGGTCAGTCCAGTTCACTGGGGATATCTCAGTGGGGAGAGAAATTTGACTTCTTAGACCTGTCCTCTTGTCTCCTCCTCTTAGGTCCTTTCTAAGCCTGTATCCCTTTTACAGATAATTAACCAGAACATCACAGAACACCATCTTCTCCTGTTACCTTACATCAGGGGTATCAAACATATGGACTGCAGGCTATTTTATGCGGTCCTCTGGTAGTCTGGTGGTCTACCAGAAGTGTACTGCCCTTCAGCTCTGCACTGCCACATACCCCTGACATTGCTGACCGGCCAGAGCTCCATGCCTCCAGGCAGCATAGAGCCAGGAGTGTTTGGCTGCACAAATACAACTCTGCAGTCTTATGCCTCCAATTTTCTGTCACTGCCTGGCAGCACAAAGCTCTAACTGGACTGCAGTGCCAGGGGTGTGCAGCAGCATGGGTTCAGGAATGTGTGGCTGCATGGAAATGCATTCATGCCGTGCAAAACTGGGGATATGCATCTGCAAGGAGCCAGGAGCATGCAGTGGCATGGAGTTCTGACCAAACACAGCTCCGCACTGTTGCAC